GCAAAGTTAATATCATTACTTTTGGCTAATAAATAAAAAAGTTATTCGAGGTGTCCCTTTTTATCTGACTCACCCTGTATGTTAGGAATATTCTGTAGATGGTGAAACGATAACCAAAATTTGGCTAGTCATCCTCACCAACAACGGAATAACATCATCTCCAAAATTGACAATAGCAGATCATATTTAATTTTTGTATAGTAAGATATTCCTGCACTTGTAGTTTATTAATCCGTTTTTACCCCAGGTCCAGGTTTTTGAGAAAAAAATGAAAATTGTATAAGAACATTTTGTAATTTAATTCTGAAACCTTTGACATCTTGCAAATGTTTTAAGGTTAAGCATGGTAAATCGTTGACAAAAAGTTGATGACGTTATCTCAAAATTTTGCAAAATATTATGAATTTATACTTATGGTTTACAAATGCATTTATATTTTTTAGAATTGCTTATACAGGGTGACCCAAGAAGTTAATTAATGAGGAATTTTTTTTATTGATCAAATCAAAAATCGTTCACACCATTTTCTTGAAAATTTGAGTATACAGTACTGTTATTATTTATCAAGACTATTACAGTGCAATCACTGCATTTATTCAAATTGATAAAATATGATAATTCACTTGAAACATATGCAAAACATGTGTCTTTACCAGTATGTTAACAGTTCACACATATTTTTATTTTAATTTATAGTGTTATCATAAAAATAATAAAATTCCCAAAATTTAGTTTTATATTTTTTCGAAGAATCCTTCGCCTGTACCTCATGTGCGAGGGAAGTTCTGTCAAAATAACTTTGGACCAATTTTTCTTAATGAAATTTTGTGACGACGTCATCAACGTTCTAGTAGGCACAAGTACCATAAGATCGAAAACAAAACTCCTCTAGCAAGCCATGAAATTTATTTTTAAAACAATGATGGCAACATCAACGCGTTCCTTGGTTGGTTTGACAATTACGGTCAAATAACTGTCAAATAAACTGTCAATTAGCTGCAATGCTTTTTTTTTAATAAATTTTAGGTACAACTACTACCAGGAGATTTTTTGGAACATATGATACATATATCATTTGAGTAATAAATAACAATAGGTACTATGTATATTCCCACAATTTCAAAAAAATTAGGTAAATATTTTTGATATAATCAATAAAATGAACCGTTTCATTCATACATGTTTTGAGACACCCTGTAGGAGCAATTTTAAATGGATTTATCCAACTAAACACTGAGATGACGGTAAGTTAAAAATTTGGATATCTAATTGTAAGTTAAAAATAAGGGCAGCTTAATGATCCACAAGTACTACAGAAGCATGTCAGTTTATAAAATTAAATTAAGATTTACTTTGCAAAATTTTAATATGACGTCATCACGTGGTGGGATGTGATGATGAGGTAAACTAAGTGTTTTACGATCTACACGAAAATTTTACAACTATCATCCAGAGGTTATCAAAATTATTATTAACTTAAGATCTGTAAATAAAAACAGTTGAAAAGTGGCAAGTAAAATCGCTGTCCAAATTAGACCAAATTTAGTAGCTTCATTTATCCCCAATTGCTTGAATGGTCCCTAAAATTTTGTCAAAATTCATTTTGAAGAATTGACAATACTCCTCTACTATTAAGATGGATAATAAGAGAATACAATACGATGTACATAAAAAGTAATCTGACTTTCCACCTTCTATTATTACTTATTTATGAAGATACCATCGTTGCAACAATGCAGCATTGTTAATACAACTAACAAAAACTGAACTCGGGAGCTCAATTCGCACCATGAAAAACATCGAAGTAGCGGGAAGCGTTGTACCCTGTTCTCATTTCCTCAGTCTTACGGTACACAGGCACATTTAGACTTGTAGTTGGATACGAAAAATAATATGTCTCATAAAGGAATGAGAATCTGCTAAAATCAAGGACAACAGTGTGAAAAGAAACATATGACAGTGATGCAGATCCGAACTTCCTGAACCGTCAAAAATATTAAATATATAAACGGCTTTTTACGTTGAAAACTCGCTTAGAGGAAACGAAACAAGTTAAATCTGTGATCAGTATACATTGTGTAGTTTATAATTTTAGAACTCGGTTTTGGCAGACGGTATAATTTAAAAACGAGCAACAAAATATTGTTTGTGATAAGGACAATACATCAATTGTGGTGGTTAGAAAAGTGTCTAATAAATATCAGGGAAAAACCTCCGTCCTTGGTCCATTTCGCTCCGGTCCAATTCCGGATGTGCTCGCACCAGGCGACATGATAAATATGAGCAGAGGCCGGGGCACCACACCCGCATAAATCATGAGAACCATTAAATAATACGTGATCGTTTGGTAGCTCAAGGTAGTTGACAGATACCACGGTTATCTAACGTACACTCCGCAGGTGATCGGCTACTATATTAATAATAAGTTGCGTGGTGGTAAAAATAACGACTTGTCTATTTTCGGACCGAGTTTATTAGACCGAATGTACAACCTAACCGAGCAACTCCACACAGAAGCCGGACTATCTTCGCTTTAGATTTTTTGATAATCAGCTCCTCAGATCTAAACTAAATTACACAGAGATAGACTACACTTGTGCGCTCGTCAGTGTCGTTTTCACAGCGTGGGCACGACGGATTTTACTCTCTGTTACGAATTTCTTGTCATGTCGGGAAATTTCAACATTTGTAGGCTTCGTTTACCTCGATTAGAGCCGAATTTTAGACCGTCTGTCTTTTTTTAAGTAACGGTTGTAACTTTCTGGTTGGCAGATGGATCAGTCAGGAAGCTGTGAAGAGCCGCCGGCTGATAGCTACTAGATTTTTCACCTCTGAGCGGCCGAGAACCATAATCACATAATCGCGCTTGTTATATCGAATGGGAGAGAAATAAACGTCAAAAGTAATTGTATTATATCTTTGTAGATAATGGCAGAGGCAAGAAATATCGGCTTGTTTATATTCCAAAGTTGGATTCAATTACTTACGCTGTCAAAACTTTTGCCAATTTTGGCATGCACAAATGACGATTGTTTCAACAACTTTCGGACACGACATACAAACAAACACAATGACCAAAAGACCAAAATACATCAAGCGTGGGTAAACGAAATGTTGGATCGATACCGTGTAATGAAATAATTGATCAAGAGTGGGTCGCTTGACTACAAAAAAAGAAAAAATCCACAAAACTCCACAATCCATCCTGTATGTAAAATTATTCGAAACAACTTTCCATCTTCGTTCAGCTACGATTTTAGAGCCCGTTTTAATCGGCAGTTATTCACATCATGGAGCTAATTTTGTGCAGGCTTCTCTATGAATAAACTTAATTAACATAAACTTTAACTAAATTAATGCAATTAATTGGGTTACGCAATGCTATCATCTCATAATGACATGTTATGTGTATCAACCGGTGAAAGTTCTAAAAGCTGAGTAATTGTACGTAGCAAAAAATACAACATCTCATACATAAAAAATCCCTAACTCATTATACATTAACATTACACACATATCGACATGGTCTGGAGATGTTTCGAATAAATCACTGTCAACTTAATTGGTTGAAAACTTGACAAAAGCTGGAGAAATTAATTGAAACTTTTTCGAGGCTGACATCGAGCATGAAGTTGTACCCAATGACTTTGCTTCACGGTTAATTTGTTTGTGCAAAATGATACTTGAAAATGGGTGCACGAGACACAGATTTAGAGGTTTCTCACTTATTCCGGATAGTTACCTAAACACTGGATAAGATTGATTTCGGTTACTAGCACGTGACCAGGGCACCATGCGGGCTCCTTGTCAGACTAACCCAGAGACAAGTGTAAGCCAAGCTATTAATCTCGCATGCAATTGTCGTGATCAAAGCAAATTAAGCTAGTAAAAATAGCATCATAACGAACAGTTCGCAGACACAGAAAGTGTTCTGGTAGTCATGACCATCCATATTCATGTTAGTGTATCGTTTTTTCCAAAATCATTTTCCAAGAAAAGGTATATATGCCTTGGAACCTTGAATAATTTGCAAGCATTGTCTCCTCAAAAATCCACCGAACGTGTACGCAAACACTTTACCAATGAATCACCGCAACATGACAGGCAGGTTTTGAAATCTCGGTGGCAGAAAACTCGAAACCTGAAATCGTTGCACGGCTTTCAGACCGGTAACTTCCAAAACTGAATTTGCATTTAACAAGCTCCATCACGGATTGTCTATAAGAGTTAAATTTCTCACACCGTCAACAAAGCACCGTATCTTTTTTCGCTTTACCTCTCTGGAATTTTTCCTTCTCTCTTTTCCTTTTAAAATTCCGGTCTCATCTTCGCATTCGGCTCCTGCGATCTTTGAGTGCCGATTTCGGATCTATCACGTATCAAGCTTACACTTCCAGTAGGATGTCTTCTTGATGTTGTATCAAGAGATCTGACCCGATCTGTTCAGCTTATTACGACGCGCGCTATTCCCGTAACAAATTGTTATTGTTGTTGGGTAACGACGTTGTTTAAAGTGGGCGTGGGGACTGGTATGATATACTGGCTGGAGACCGGCTCCGGGCATTCAACATACGCGTTCCGTCGCCAGAACATGTCATTATGATCCACAATCGCACTACCATTTATACACGATGGGTAAAAAACATCCTTTGGAAAAAAAAATCCCGACAAGCGAGTTCCAGATGCAAAAAAACGCACTTGGAACAATTCGTCTTCAAAATCGGAACATTGAGTCAAAATGCCAAAGGCACTGCCCCCAAAATGTTTTTAACTGCGACCCTTTGTAAACTTAGTGGCAATATCGCCGCCAACCACACACGTAACGAAAAATAGATCAGTAATTTTCGTTGTACGTTAATTGAAAGTTGATTATGATGATCCAAAATGTAAAAAAACGTCGAACGAAATATCACCCTGCTCTCACCGCCGCTCGTTTGCCACGCATTTGCAACTTAACTCTTCCATAAAATTTTATCCTCTACAAGAACGCATCGACTTACATTATGCAGTTTGTAGTACAGTCCGCAGGCGTTACAGACGGGTTCGCCATTTTGGTTGCGTCTCCAAAGGGTTGTGGTTGTCGTCTTGCAGTTAGCACAACTGGTCCCGGCCCTCCTGGCCGCGCTTTGTAAGCTCTGCAAAAAAATAAGAGAAAAAATGATAAAGGACATCGTCAATTCCACAAAGAACAAGATTTTTCGACCGGAATGTACTGCACTACTACTTGTGTCAACGACGTAAACCTATTGTCAGATTTAATTGGATAGCGATCTCGACGCGATAAGACATCCTCGGCTTGTAAGGACGATGTTCGTTTGTGTTGAAGATGCGAATTCAACGGTACCGTCAAGCCGGAGAGGTCGCGATTCTGGACCGTAATGCCCGGGATTGTGCCCTAATCACAGTCGCCTTTGATTGATTAGAAGATAAATAGGCCGGAGTGGCGACCGGGTGGGATTCTTAAGCTGGGAAATTGACGGTGGACGCGACCAGAAGTGCAGAAATCAAATGGCCGAATAAAATTTATCGATCTTATCGTTTGATCTATATAAGGGATATCAGTCAGTTTTTACTATCAATAAATTTTGATAATTGAGTAGATTTGCAATGCTTGTGCTAGAGTTTGAGTTAACGTTTCGATTTTGAGAAAAAAACAGGAACTATTATGATCTTTTATGGAGAAAAACAAGATCTACTGCGATAAAATACGACGGGAAAATAGAAGTTAATAAAAGCCCTCTGCACAAGACCACGAACTGGAACACAAAGTCAAAAATTACTCTATTAGTTTGCTTATTTACTTTCTGGTGAATATCTCTAAAAATAAGAAAATTCCTGTGACTTCACGAGGCGCTGTCTGATTCCGCCTTAACCTTAATAATGACAATGACGTTAATCAAAATGTTTTCCAAGAATTCTCGTTCTCAAAGGTCTAAAAGTTAGTTCGTTAATAAAATTTTAATGTGCACGACATAACAGGGTATTTTTATTGTGTTAGGTCAAAACAAAACACATCGTAGATCTCGTTTACTCTGTTGCATTGTAAGTAGCGCGAAATGAATTATTCATAAAAAAGCACTATGAGTTTTACACTGTAATTATTAAATTTACATGAAATCAACATTTTGCTTTTTTCGTGCTTATTCTTTGCATTAAAATCGACTCATCAGAAAAAGATGAATAACTTCTTTAGGGCTCATAAAAATATTTTCTGAAAGTTTTTTGGTTGTCTACGTGCTGCTAGCAAACTATACAGAGTGATGCTCCTGGATGTTGCAAACCGTACAAAAAATTTGAAAAAGGTAAATAAGGAAGTTAATGTGAAAATGGTAGGCATCGGCTCAATTTTCTTGACGCAAGGTATAAATATTTATCGTAGGTCCATTAAAGCGTACCTGATTATATCTGCGAATAAAGCAAAAATTATGTGGTTTAATTATACTGCGCAGAAGTGTGGCGTTTTATCCGGTGTGAACCTTTTTTAAAATTTTTGGGTAAATTTTGCCTTGAAGGTAATTTTTCTGCTAAAATTGCTGAGCGACGAAATTTACATGCTGTAATTTCGGATTACATACAAAGTTGTCGAGAGTGAGGTATTTCTTGATGTGTCAAGTGGTTGGACGTTCAGTCGGTCGAGGAGGTATCGACAGTGCCCTCGTGCGAGTTTATTTGGAGCCATTAAAGCCTCTCCTCGCGTACCGGAATCGAAAAAAAGGCGAAATTCGTAGCTCGGGGTCGGGGGCCGATATTCCATTAAGGAGAAAACACGTTTGGCATAAATCTCGTTTTAATAAATTAAATTCTCATCGATATTTTCCCATAAGAACAGTACCATGGGCCCCGTAATATATAGGTCCATTTTTTTACTATTTATTTATGTCCGTATATCGGATAAACTCGGGGCGATTTTATTATAAAAAGTCTCACTTTCCACGGCGCGCTCTGTAATTATAGTCTGAAATTAATGCGGATCACAATCGAAACAAAGCGATGCGGAGGAACGTGCAGCTATCTCGTTGTGGCGAGCTGAAAATAACGGCCGATGCTACGTATCGAAGTTAATAAGTTAACGCCCATCTATTTGAAATTTGATTTACGATTTGTGGCAGGTGAGGGGATCTGACCCTAAACGGGGGGTTGAATTTCACCTGTCCGCTTGTATTGGAATTATATTTTAACTACTTCCGCCGCAGATGTCGCCACGTGCGACCTTTCACTACCACTACGCGGTTACTCCAATTATTCAATGCGGTCCTAAGCCACAACCACCGGCCCAAATCGCCAATTAATCGTTACTTAACATTCAATCAATCAAACTTAATACCCCTTTCCAACGTCATTATGCACCCATTTGCAATTCGCAAATAATTAAGTAGGTAGAACAAGTGATTTATACGACTTCCTCTCCATATAAGAGACTGTAATTTTCTTAACTAGCCTAAACACCCTCTTTAGTTGCGCAAAACGACAACCTCTCCTCCGCTTTCTCGGACCGACGTTTTATGAATTTATGTAAGAAGTCGATCAAAAATCCGCTTATGTCCAATTACCACCGGCGTACATGTCTCGTAATTTGATTAATTCATGAAGTATGATCGACACAAAAACTTATTTGTTGTACGTCCTTCTTAAATTGACAAAAGGTTAAAGACATCTCCAAACAATATACGATCGTATCTCTGCGGGTACATCTTTCATAACAACTAAGCAAAACGCCAAATCAGGTTGCACGACCCCCAAGGCGCTCCACGAAGACTGACCAAGATTGCCGCTTCTTCGATCGACATCACCACTGGGCTATTTCAAAAATTTTTATTGTGCGTCGACACATGTTAACGTTCATCTTCCGCAACCTATAATCTGGACACTTCAACGGATAGCCTTTTCACCTCCAAGAAATATCTAATTCAAACACAATGTTGAGGTTTTTTTCGAAACGACTCAATGTTACAAAGAGTTATTTAATAAAATCAGTATAATATCAGCAACACTATTTTCTGAAGATCTGTTAACTTTCTATGAGAACAACAACATTTCTTTACTGTTCCGTGATCCCGTAATGATTCTGGGATGAGGCTATTGGCAACCACATCACCATTATCATTGTCATTATCATGATCATCATGGAAACGTAATCTTCTAGAACTACTAAATTTCCTAGATGGAAACAGTACCCAGAACCAAGTTCATGACTTGGTTTCTGTTTTCTGATACTTCATTATTTTCATCACTTAGTTTATCCTATCTGATAGTTTTGTTGACTGGTAATAGATTCTGTTCTGTTTTGGAACACTTGATATTCAAGTACTACAAGCCACAATATATTAGGTGATTATTTTAATAAAAATTATAACTAATCGGTTGACACAAACTTTATTTCGTCGAAAAATTTTATCAAGGCGATAAACACACATATTTCCTAATATGCTACTGTACTCATAAGTTCGTTGCCCCATTTTGGTTCTCAGTGTATCATTTTTCCAGCAAACTCATTTCAAAAGTCCTTTCCGCCTTTATTGTTTTGTCAATCTATTGCCTAATGGTGATCTTTTTTCTGTTTACTAGGACAGCTTTCTTTTTTAAAGAAACCTGTATCTAAAGACTATTAGAGAATACTTTGGACCTAAATTTGTTTCATCTCCATTAGTCATTTTTTATGACTGTTTAGATTTGTTTCTGCCCTTGTTGACTAAGACTTTTTTTTTTCTAAATTCTAAAGTCCGTTTCGATTTGACTTGGTAGCGTACAAAACCCGTAAGCAATACTAATATCTCTTGCTCTTTGTCCCATAAAATTGTTGAAAGAAAACTATGTTCATAAAGAAAAAAAACAAAGATTAAGCTCCACCCACCCACCCGGACCTCAATTGTGATGAGTTTTTCATTCCTAACCAGACCGAGGGGCGGAGTTTAATTGTAACATCAAAATTTCTCTAGAAAGTTCTACCCTTTTAAAAACAGATTTCGTATGGTCATTTTTTGTAGAGAAATGAGAATTTTGCAACTAACCTCTTCATCACAATTGAGAAGGGGTGGGTGGGTGGGGCTTATGTTTTGTCCATTTTTTTCTTAATATACAAAGTCTTTTTTTTCCAACAAGAAACTGAAAACATGTTAACTATCCTGTTGTTGAAAGAAAACTCTATATGTTAAAAAAACAGAGATTAAATCCCACCCACCCGCCCCGATCTCAGTTGTGATGAATTTTTCATTCGTTGTTAGACCGAGGAGCGGAGCGTAATTGCAAAATACATATTTCTCTACAAAAATTTACCATTTTCAACATGTTTTAAGTCTCTTGTTATGATAAAAAAATTGGTCGAAAGTTGTTTCAACAGAATTTCCCTCGCACCTAAACTACAATAAAAATAACAATATTGGATTCCCAAAATTTTGTGGGAAAATGAAGTGAAGCCGTTCCTGATTTAATCAATAAAATAAACTGAATGCAATGATAAATCAGAAGTAAAAACTCATCATATTTTGGGTTGAATTTAATCGGCAAAATTTTGAGATGACGTCATCAGTTTTTTGGGGGGAGTAAACAGATATATTTAGATTAACAATTTACCATGCTTACAATAACTTTAAACCGTCTGCAAGATTTCAAAGTATTCAGTTTTGCAATTCTTGATTTATTTTACAAAATAAACTGACTGATTCATTAATTTTTTTTAGTCATCCTGTATAAAAAATCTAAAAAATATGAATGCATTGATAAATTACAAGGATAGACTGATCATATTTTGCATATTTTAGATAGGAATAATTCGGTAAAATTTTGAGGTGACGTCATCAATTGTTTAGGGGGGATAAGCAAACACATTTTCATTAAAAAAATTACCGTGCTTATGATAACTTCAAAACATCTCCAAGATTTCAAAACATTCGGTTCTGCAGTTCCTGATTACATCAATAAAATAAATTCACGAATTCATTAATTTTTTGGGACACCCCGTATAAGCAAATCCAAAAAATATGAAGTCAAAACCGTACTTTTTTCAAATGCACAATTTTCTCATCAAATAGTTGTTTAATATCAATTTAACTTCCAAATAAATACTGCTCTTCACTATGATTCTATGATATTGTCACACTGATTTTTTTTTTTTTTTTCTAATCACTGATTTGCGTTT